GCTGCCGCAGCCTGCGGGATCCCACGGACCCGCCGCGGGCGTTGTGCTGGCCGCGGGCCGGGTGGCGGCGAGTCTGGGGGCGGCGGTCGGGTCACGTGGTTCCGGGTCTAGCGCATCCGAGGTCGGAGACTTGGGGGGCGTTGTCGGCGTTGTTGCGGGTTCGGGCCTGGGGTTCAATGTGGGGCCGGCGGCTGGGGCCTGTGAGGCCCCTGGGTCCCGGGGTAGGAGGTTCGGGGAGCCGCTGGGCTGCAGGTTTCAAGGCCGGCGGGGTGTCCGGGGTGCCCAGGTGGGGTTCCGCCGGAGCTGATGGGCCTGGCCGGAGGGCGTGGGGAGTTCGAGTCAGGGCCAGGACCTGCGCGCACAGTACCAGGCTCACCGAGGTGTTGGGGGCCCTGTCGGGACCTGAAGGGGCTGGGAGAGAGGGCGCCCGCGGGGTGCTTGCGGGGAGTCCGGCGAGAGGAGTCCGCACGCCGCCTCCGGGAAGCCCGCAGGCTCTCTCCCCCGAGGCTTCACTGAACCCCGTGGTTCCCTGGGTCCTTCCCTCTTTTGGACATTCTCTTCCAGGTGGGCTTTTTAAAGCGGTGTCTCCCGCACGTGGCATCCCTGGATGTGCTCGGCTGGGAGCCCGGGTCGCGTCCCGTTGAGGGGCTGGGGCCCTGTGGCCGCACAGAAAGTTTATTGTGTCTGTGGCACCCAGGCTAGTCCAGTGGTGACGGTGACTGATTGCTGGGCCTGTTATCTCCCCTCCAACCTGACTTCACCCAGCTCAGCTTTACATTTATCAACAGTTTTTTTTAAAGGTGTCTCTCCTTAAAAAAAAAAAAAAAAAAAAAAGGAAAAGAAAAAGCAACCTGCTCCCCCAACTTTTGACAGCTGCTGGTGTGGCAGGGACACCCTCACTGGCCGGAAATCCTTCTCTCTCCTCTCACGATTTTCATATGAAAACTTTGACTTTTAATAAGTATGTGTTAATTCTAATTATTCGATGCCTTTCCCCAGGAGTCCCTTCAGGACTTGATGCTGAGTGCACCACGGGGTGGTGGTGAAGGCTGCCGCTTCCTTCTGGGGATAAATGTGCGAGCGGCCCGGAGCCTGTGCCGTCACAGAGGAAGCTGCTCGGAGCCTGTAGTGTCACACAGGAAGCTGCCCGGGGCCCGTGCCATCTCACAGGAAGCTGCCCGGAGCCTGTAGTGTCACACAGGAAGCTGCCCGGAGCCCGTGCCATCACACAGGAAGCTGCCCGGGTAAAAACAAACAGCGAAAGCAGCGGGGAGCTTGTGTTTCCATTGGGTGGGGGACACGGGAGGCAGCGTAAGCGTTCAGGCGGCTTCTCCGGAAAGGGCCAACTTCCAAAACCATTTTAAAAATTCAAGTAAAATAAGGGTGAATCTTCATCGTTCTGAGCAACAAACTTAAATGTCATCAGAAATATTTTTAAACTGCTGTGCTGATGGCTTATCACTCCCTGTTCACCTGAAATTCACAATTCTGTGTATCCTCCGCAATAAATCTACATGCTTTCGACATAAGTCTCTTTACAAGTTTTCACTGAAACCCAAGTAAATTTCACTAAGTCTTTGACAAGTACAAAGGAAATTTTAAAATCACATTATGAATTTGGCTTTGTGCTTAAGGAAATGGTTTCAATGATCAGCTAGTTCTGTTCTTTACAATGCCAGAGTTTTGATCACATGAATGAAAATTGAACGTGTAATTCAAAGGAGGTGACATACTTGTAGTGGGAATATTTTCCTGGCGTGCGTGTGTGTGTGTGTGTGTGTGAGATTTATGATTGATTTTTTCTTAACCAAACAGAGGGGTTTACATTTTTTGATGTTTATATTTATTGATTGTTTAAAAAAAATTCTATTGCTTTTACCTTTGTATCATGTGTAGGGAAAATTTTCCCCAAATTACCAAAATATTCACCTGTGTTTTCTTCAGGCATCATTGTGGTTGGCATTACTTTAAATTCTAACCCACCTGAAAGTAGTTTGTTGTAATGTAAGAGATAGATAACTAGCTTTATTTTCTTTCAAATGTTTCAGTTATATAGAAAACACACTCTGGGCTTAGATGGTCGTGAGTTCCTAGTTCTTAGCAAGAGGAAGATATTTTAGGTGCAGTGTGAATATACCAGTTGAAGTGCATTTGTTCCTAAGTCTACAGATCCCACAAATGAGTCTGCTCTTGCAAGATAAAGGACTTCCTGGAGCCAGGAATTCATGCCTTGTGTAAAAGACCTAGCCAAGACCTCACACCAGAGCTCTGCGGCATAAGCAGAGGAAACGCAAGATAGAAAGATCTCAGACTTGCTAATCATCTCACGCAAGGAACAGAAAATGACCATGTTGCAGGTGAGTGGATTGTTTATTTCTCATTATTTTTCCTGGAGATTAGAAGAGTGTAAGTCTTACAGTGAAAAAGAAAAATACAAATAGTTAAGAAATCAGCAGAAAATAGCCTCAGAAGAGAAGATCTGGATTGGGACAAAACTGAAGCAGTAATACAATAATTATAGTGCCTTGAGACATTCTTAAGGCTTTAATTTTTATAAGCCATAATACTGAATATGAGCTGCAGTGTTCTCAAATTTTTGGCAGATGTAATAAATGAACATTTATGTGCGTTGTATTATCTAAAGGGAAAAGCAAGTTGATTTTTCATATAAAGTAAATATTTCTTACCTGGCCGGGCATGGCTCAGTGGTTGAGCATCGACCTAGGATCCAGGAGATCGCCATTTGATTCCCGGTCAGGGTACATGCCTGGGTCCTGGGCTTGATCCACAGTTGGGGGCGTGCAGGAGGCAGATGATCAGTGACTCTCTCATTACTGATGTTTCTCTCTCTCTGTCTCTCTCCCTTCCTCTCTCTGAAATCAATAAAGATATATTATAAAAAAAAAAAGAGTAAATATTTCTTGGTCATTCCTTGATGAAGTCTTTGAATAAATGATAATAGTGGGTAATGTCCTAAAAAGAAGCACTGTAATAAATGCACAGGTCTTATGGCCATTTTTCATAGTTTTCCATAGAGTGTGATCCAAGGTAAAAATGACAAAGCAAAACTTAGTGACCATAATTATGTATTTACCTCTTTAATTGTGAAGCAGGATCACATTCAGAATAAAATTAAAAGAAAAAAAAAGAATCACATGCAGAAAAGTACATAAAAGGTAAAACTGGTTTCACGAATTATTATTTGAATATGCATGAAATTACCATTCAGGTAATTAGCACAGATAAAGAATATTTCCATCACCTTTGAAAGTTGGACAGATCTGATGTAGACTCGATCAGATCGAGTTTCAGTCCTTTCAGGAGGCTCGTGATGCCTACTTGTCTCTCTTTTTATCATGCTCAGAGATTTAGATAATCGTTGCCAAATGGAGTATTTCATTAGGGGTTGCAAAGTGATAATAACATCCTACTTCCATCATTCCTTCTTTACGAACTAGAGTACTTTCTAGCTTGGCAAGATATATCAAGGCTGTTTCTACTTTTTCTTTTTTTGCCCCAGACCTGCAATTACCTATTTCTGCAGTTAGTAGTATCTTAAATTTGTTTTTTTTTAATTTTTATTGCCAAACATGGACATATTATAGATTTTTGCATATTGACTTTGCGTCCAAGAACTTCTTAAGCCCACTTATTCTAATAATTTTTCTTTAGATTTGATTAGATTTTCCATGCTCACAAAAATATCAGCAATACTTTTTTTTTTTTTAAATTGATTTTAGAGAGGGGGGAAGGGTGAAAGAGAGAGGAAAAAAACATCGATGTGAGAGATACATCGATCCTTTGCCTCCTGTATGCGTCCCAACCAGGGATTGACCCGGAATTGAACCATGATCTTTGGGCTCATGAGAAGATGCTCCAGCCAACTGAGCCACACTGTCCAGGGCAGCAATACTTTTTTTAGTAAAAAGGAATTCCACTGAATTCCTAGTTTATCGAGACTTTGTAACGATTAATTGTTGAGTATTTTTCAATTTTTGGTGTATTGATTTCGTTCTTCTTTTCATCTTGTTCTTTTTCATACTGTTTCTTCCTTATGAAATCTGGGCCTTTTTTTTTTTGAAAATTTTAAATGTGCTTTTTAAAATTCTGTTAGGTTTTTCTGTATTTGCAGTTCCTGTGATATACATGCTTCCATTTGCAGATATACTTTGTCTGCATCTCTTGAAGTGATTATATATTTTTTTCACTCTATTAAGATAGTGAATACCATTGATTTTAAAAAAGAATTGTAAACCAACCTGGTCTTAATATATTCTTTATATATTGCTCTCTATAGTTTGGTAATATGTTGAAGAATTTCACAGCAGTGTTCATGTGTGAGTTGGCTTTTGCTTTTCCTTTCTTGCAGTATCCTTATTGGGTCTTGTGACCAAGGTTATGCTGGTATCAAAAATTTAGGGTTATGTTCCTGCTCCCATATTCTGTAAGAGTTCAGTAAAATTGGAATTAATTCTGCATTAAATGTTTACAGAATTAACTGGTAGAGCCTATTTTTGTGTGTGAGAAGATTTTAATTCAGGGAACCAATGTTTTCCACATGCCCAATGCATATGTTATAAAATCATTAATGGGTAAATAATTCATTCACAGAACAAGATAAAACAATAGATTTTAATGTAACAGAATATGAGAAATTTTATGTTTATTTTGCCACTACCTCTCCTGGTGCCAAATTTGAGGTTGAGTAAGTATTTTGTTGGTGGTTAGAAGATTTAAAGTCGTATGGTCCAATTCTTGTGTATTGTATAAAGGAATGGTTGGAAGAATGCATAATGGCATTTTGTCCCATAACATGATACAAAGGTAGGGACAGAGTGGGCGGTCTCTGTAACTTGCTAGTGTAAGAAGAATGTGCTCAAGCTCCAATACTTTTCTACCTCACGGAGTGATAAGTGCTTCAGATTCACTAGGATTGTGTTTTTACAGGAGTCAATCTTATTTGAAGATTTATCTGTGGACTTCACCCAGAAGGAATGGCAACTGCTGGACCCCTGTCAGAAGGACTTATACAAGGACGTCATGTTGGAGAACTATAGCAGCCTAGTGGCACTAGGTAAAAAAAGCTTCCCAGAGGACCTCATTGTGTCCAGTACCTTACCTTTTCTTTTTTAGTTGCTGAGAGCTGTGGGGCTTCTGAAATTGTTAATGATTTTGTACCTAAATACAGGACATCAAGGTTTCTTGGACTTTGACACCAGGTTTGAAAGTATTTGGATCTCACCTTCAAATAATGATGTCTTAATTTCATTGTGCAGCCTCTGAAACTTTAATAATATGCTCAGTGGTAGTGGTAGCACCTAATGGAGAGAACTCACTGTATTCCACATATTGTTCATATATTGACTCCATTAATCATTAGAACAATCCTGTGTGACAGGCATGATTACTCTCCTTTGTTTTCTACCAAGGATATTGAAGCAAAGAAAGGTTAGTAACTTTCTCAAGGACTGATAGCTATTAAATGGAAGTGAACGGATTTGAACCCAGGCAGACTGGCTCCAGAGCCTCTGAAGTGTTCAGTGGTTTTGTAAGTGAATCATAAAACTCAAAGTTTCTTATACCCTCCTAGCCACCAGGGAGACCATTACCATTTCTTTGAGAGTCATTTACTCTGTTGATATACAAATGGTTCACTTAACTGGGTCAACTCTGATGCCAAACCTTGTCCATTCCTCAGAGGCCCTAAAGCCCAAACATTCAGGGCCAAAGCCTTTGTGATTTCCTTTGAACAGGGTATGAATTTATGAAACCTGATGTCATCTTCAAGTTGGAACGAGGAGAAGAGCCATGGATAGGAGATGGAGGAATTCCGAGTTCAGATTCTCCAGGTGAGTGTGTAAGAACCAGGCAGATGGGAGAAAGCAGTACAATCTCAGCTGGCCAGTGGGGTGGCATATCTGAAATGTGCTGCAGAGAGGTCCATTCAAAATCTCTAAACCTTTGACATGAGCCACTCAAGTAAATCACATTTACATGTGGCTTCTTGCTTGTAGCTTAAAGTGAAATGTTTCCAGCTTGTCTGGGTCATGATGTCCTTCCCCATTTGTCACATCTGGGGCTTTGACTCTTTGGTTTTCTCCCTCTGACATGTGTACTCTCCTGTCCTTTCCCTTCTGGTCAAAGACACTTCTGCTTATACATTTAAGATTTTAATCTTTTTCCTCATTTTGGGAGTGTCTGATGCCTAGAGAAATACCCTATAGAAGCCCACCCTCTGCTCAGTCTTCCATTAAGGAATGTTGTCACTCTTCCTCCTGAAGGCTTTGTTGTTTTCCTTCCCTTTTGATTAGGTTCTGCTGTGTTGAAAATGTCATTCCACAGTGTGCATGGAGGACTGGTTCCAGGAACCCCTGGGATACCAAAATTTGAGGATGCGCAAGCCCCTTATATAAAATGGCAGAGTATTTGCATATACCCTACACACATCCTTCCATAAACTTTATTTTTTTTAATGATTCTTTTTAAAAATATATGTATCTTTATTGATTTCAGAGAGAGGAAGGGGAGAGGAAGAGAGATAGAAACAATGATGAGAGTCATTGATCTGCTGCCTCCTCACACCCCTGACTGGGGATGGAGCCTACAACTCAGGCATGTGCCCTGACCAGGAATTGAACCATGACCTCCTGGATCCTAGTTCCATGCTCAACCACTGAGCCATGCACAGCCGGGCCTCCCATAAACTTTAAATCATTTTTAGGTTACTTAAAATACCCAATACAATGTAAATTCTATGTAAATAGTCATATTTTACTGTTTATGGAATGATGACATGGAAGGAAGTCTGTACATATTTAGTATAGTACAACCAGTTTGGCCTAATTACATAGTGCACTGCAGCAACAACATAACATTTTTTTTGGTGAATATTTTCAATTTGTGGTTGGTTGGATCTGCAGAGGTGGAACCCACAAGTACGGGGGAGACTAAATATGGTTAAATGAAAATTTAACACAATTTGAGAATGGGGTAAAGTACACAAAAAATTTCTCATACTTCAAGTTTGAAATGGCTAGGCAATTACTCTGTCAAACCTGTTAATTTTCTTTATAGTACTTGCTACAGTATACATCTGTGTTTTTTAAAAATATATCTTTATTGATTTTAGAGAGGGAGGGAGAGGGAGAAAGAGACAGAAACATCAATGATGAGAGAGTTGTTATTGATCGGCTGCCTCCTCCATGCCCCCAACTGGAGATCGAGTCTGCAACCCAGGCATGTGCTCTGACTGGGAATTGAATGGCAATCTGGATCCTAGGTCGATGCTCAACTGCTGAGCCATGTCCCGCTGGGCCAGTTGTGTTTTTAAAAGATATTATCTATTATCTTTTCCACCTGAGTGTACATTTCATGATGGTTGGAGCTTGTTCTCTTGTGTCTCCAGTATGACCTGGAACATAGTATGTATTCAGTAGGTATTGAGTAAATTAATTCTTCAGAACATTGGATCAATGTTCCTTTCAATCTCTGTCTTTACTCATTGCTCTGCGTGTAATTTTCACATTCTTTCCCCATTTTACAAACATTTAACAACAAAGATAACTTAATCTACTGTATGTTTCCTGTTTACAGCATTTCTTTTACTTTTTGATAACTAGAGTACAGACATTATTCATAGGACTTACTTCAGAATAGGAAACTAAGCCTTAAAAAACATTCATCCTCTCAAATAGCATTTCTAGTTTTTTATTCAGCACAACCATAGAAGGATTCACTGGGTTTTTCTTTCCTTTATAGAACAAGTCTTGCAAGTAAATGGTGACATGACGTGGCATCGGGATAACCAAGAAAAGCCTAAAAATATGAAACAAGATTATGAATGTGATGCATTTGGAAAAAATTTCAATGTGAGCATAAACTTTGTTCCTTTAAGGAAATCAAGCAATGAAGGTGATGTAGATGGATTAATTTTAAAACATCATTTAGACTTACTTCTTCCAAAAGCCGATTATGGAAAAATGGAACCAAATGACTTAAATGTATTTGATAAATTGTTTCTCCATACCAAGCCTGAGGAAACTGATACTTGGTTAAAATACTATGAGTGTGATAAATATAACATTAACTATAAGAAGTCACAGATTATCATATATCATAGAACTCGTTTAGGGGAGAAACTTTATGAATGCAGTGAATGTAGGAAACGCTTCAATAAGAAATCAAGTCTCATTAAGCACCAGAGCAGACATATAAGAGACATAGCCTATGGCTGTGGTAAATGTGGCAAAACTTTTCCCCAGAAGTCAGTGTTTATTACACATCACAGAACTCATACAGGAGAAAAACCTTATAATTGTAGCCAGTGTGGAAAAGCCTTCTCCCAAAAGTCACAACTTACATCCCATCAGAGGACACACACAGGAGAGAAACCCTATGAATGTGGTGAATGTGGGAAAGCCTTCTCCCGGAAGTCACATCTAATATCACATTGGAGGACACACACAGGAGAGAAACCCTATGTTTGCAATGAGTGTGGGAGGGCCTTTAGTGAAAAGTCAAATCTTATTAATCATCAGAGAATTCACACAGGAGAGAAACCTTTTGAATGCAGAGAATGTAGGAAAGCCTTTAGCAGGAAGTCACAACTCGTTACACATCACAGGACTCACACAGGAACAAAACCTTATGGATGCAGTGACTGTAGAAAGGCCTTCTTTGAGAAATCTGAGCTCATTAGACATCAGACAATTCATACTGGAGAGAAACCTTATGAATGCAGTGAATGTCAGAAAGCATTCAGAGAGAGGTCAAGTCTCATTAATCATCAGAGAACCCATACAGGAGAGAAACCTCATGGATGCATTCAGTGTGGAAAAGCCTTCTCCCAGAAGTCACATCTGATATCGCATCAGATGACACACACAGGAGAGAAACCCTTCGTATGCAGTAAATGTGGAAGGGCCTTCAGCAGGAAATCCCAGCTTGTTAGACATCAGAGGACACACACAGGAGAAAAACCCTATGAATGTAGTGAATGTGGGAAAGCTTTCAGTGAGAAATTAAGCCTCACTAATCACCAGAGAATTCACACAGGAGAAAAACCCTATGTGTGCAGTGAATGTGGGAAAGCCTTTTGTCAGAAGTCACATCTTATATCACATCAGAGGACACACACAGGAGAGAAACCCTATGAATGCACTGAATGTGGGAAAGCCTTTGGAGAGAAGTCAAGTCTTGCAACTCATCAGAGAACTCACACGGGAGAAAAACCCTATGAATGCAGGGATTGTGAAAAAGCCTTCGCCCAGAAGTCACAGCTCAATACTCACCAGAGAATTCACACAGGAGAGAAACCCTATGAATGCGGTCTTTGTATGAAAGCTTTCTTTGAGAAGTCAGAGCTAATTAGGCACCAGAGAACTCATACAGGAGAAAAACCTTATGAATGCAGTGAATGTAGAAAAGCCTTCAGGGAGAAATCAAGTCTCATCAATCATCACAGAATACATACAGGAGAAAAACCTTTTGAATGCAATGAATGTGGCAAAGCCTTCTCTCGGAAATCACACCTGATACCTCATCAGAGGACACATACAGGAGAGAAACCATACGGATGCACAGAATGTAGGAAGGCATTCTCTCAGAAGTCACAGCTTGTTAATCATCAGAGAATTCACACTGGAGAGAAACCTTATCAATGCAATGAATGTGGGAAAGCCTTCTCCCAAAAGTCACAGCTCATTAATCACCAGAGAACGCATACAGTAAAGAAATCATAGACATGGAGTTAATATTAGTCTTTGAGAAAGACCTTGCCTCATTGTATTTCATAAAATGCATTATGGTAAATCAGATAAGATTCATGCATCACATTATATGTCTGCTCTCTGGCGGTAGGAACTGTGAGGTTATATAGGGAGTTTCAGGAGAGTAACAATTTTATATATCAGCATTCATAGAGCCTATGAAATGCAGTGTGTTTTAAAAACCGTTCAAATTATAGTCAAACGTTAAACAGAAAATTAACAGCAAAGAGAATACTATGAATATCAGAAAGCTTTCTGGAGGGCAAATCTCATTAGCTCTTAGAAATATTCCCACTGGGGATGCATCCTAGTCCAGTGAATGAAGGGAACATCCATGAATGTGGCATTTGAGGTAATGTTTTCATCAAGAAATTACAGCTCATTGTACATAAGAAAATACCCTCAAAAATGAAATTATATGAAAATACTAAATATGGGACAGCCTTTAGCAAGTAATGCAACCACATTGTATTTTGGAGAATTCATATTGTGAGTAAACCTAACAAAGACATTGGAAATATGTGCCCCTAGAAATAATGCTATAGACATGGGTACCAAAATTACCCCATTCTACATGGTTGACAGATTTTCACTCAGAAGTATGACATTTAAAATATATACGAATAAACTGAATCATTGGAAAAATCTAAGTAATTTCTTAGTGGTATTTATGGCTTCCTTTCTTTTGTCACAAATGTGTTCTGTATTTTGAAACTGCAGATGACAATGTCATTGGAGATGCACATGCCTTGTTCTGCCTCTGATAGTCTGTCAAGACACCGCATGCCACTAGCTCTTCTATCTTACTGATACTATAAAAATGGTAACTAACTCATATGTCTTACTGCTGAATAGTAATCACACCACATCTCTTTTCACTGTTGGCATATAAAAGGGGTCTATTGTTACTGACCTTTCTCTTCAGTTATATAAAGCCTTCTGTGTCCTCAAAATCTGAGACACAGTTTATATAAAACCCAGTTAATAAGTATTCAAAGGCAGGAACCACAGAATTGCAGTAGAAACTCATGTTATACTGAGCATGCAAAAGCAAGGAGGTATGTGAAGTAAATTACTCAGCTTTCCAACATAATGGCAGTAGAGCTATGCAAAACCTTTCCCTCATTTAGTGAGATGCCTCTGTGTAAAATAGATATAAAGTGAATCAAAGTTAAGAGCTGATTCACTTAGTTTCGTGGTGCTCAGTAGTTACATTGAGACAGAATAGTTAAGGAGACAAAATGGGAAGCCTCATCCTCCTTTCCCACCTGGGTTGCTCCACTGACCTGGAGACAGTTCTCCGTGCCTGTCCATCATTTGAGTACCCTACCTTCCCTCTTACTATTTTTTCGCCAACTTGAACTACTTGCAGTTCCTTGAAATTTCTACATTCTGTCGGATGCTTTTTGCAAATCTCCTGTCACTGAAAAGCCCTCCTTTCTTATTCATGCCAATCCAACCTATGTGACCCTGTATGTGCGTTTGTCACTGGGATAATGAAGTCATCGATGCTCTGGCAGGGGCAGTCTCGTTCCTTAATCTTAGCCACTGAAGCCTTGTATGTAAACCTGAGTGCTTATCAGTAGCTATGAGTTCAGCACCCGGAGAAGCAGAGTCTGAATGAGAACAGCGAAGCCACCGTGGAAGCGAAGCCCAGGCACGGCCCTGACCGAGGCCCAGGTCTGGCTCGTCATACGCATCCTCGCCGCTGCCCTTCTCATGCCACTCCGGGTCCTGTCGGGGTCACAATACCCTTTCATAAATACCCAGCGGGTTTGCCCAGCCGGTTCAGGTCGTGTTTGTTACAACCCAAATATTCCTAATAGGAGGCGAACGCTGGGTTCTCTGGAAGCAGATACTGAGGCGGAGTTCGGGGCCGATGCTTACTGAGGATCAGTGTTGCGGAGGGAGTGACACATAAGTGACTGACCCCGACTCGTTCCTGAGTCCCGGCCACTGGGCCCCCTCGTCCCGGACTTCACATCCACTTGCCATCGCACCGGGCGAGGGGGCCCAAGGAGCCCCGGGAGCGTCACCCGAGTCCACGCGCTTTCCTCCGCGCCCGCTGCGGAACAGCAGCCCTGCGCCCGCGCGACACCCGGCCCCAGGTCAGCGGCTGCCGTGGGGCCGGCGGAGCACGGTTCCCGCGCGGCGCCTGCCGCTTGCGATTAAGCAGAAACCTGCTCCGTCTTCTCAGCGACGCGCGTCGCCCAGGGCGGTTTAGCGCACGCAGTCGCGGAGGGTCACTGCAGAGGGTCACTGCGCGTGGCCGCGGGCCGTCCCGACTCCGCGCGGCGGCGCCCAGACCCACGCGTTCTCCCGCAATGGGGGTCGCGGGACCGCAGCTCTGCCGAGCGGCAGCCTCTTGCTTCCGCCGCCGGTAGCTGGGGCCGACCCACGGGCGCGAGATTCCCCGCAAGCCGCGGTCCTTCGCCGCGAGGGACTCTGGTTATCACAGAGGCCGGAAGGGGCAGGTCTTTGGCGGAAGCGCCGGGGCCACAGTCGGTTCTGGGAGTTGTAGTTGTACGAGGGTGGGGCTTTTGGTCTCAGGAGGCTGAGGCCGCGGGGTGTTCTGGGAGTTGTAGTTGCCCGAGTAGAACGGCCTTTGTCTGGAGGCGCCGTAAGTTCCGCCGCGGGGCTTTCTGGGTGTTTTCGCGCGTCACCGAGAGCCTTTCTTTCCTCGTGCGATGTGTGCTGAGGCGCGGGTGGACGGACAAGGGCTGTTGTTTGACGCACGCCGTTTCGGCCTCTGCGGGCGTGGGGTATTCTGGGAGTTGTAGTATGTGACCGGAGCCTTCCTTCCACAGCGCTGAGGACGCGGTGGATCCTGGGAATTGTAGTTGAGGCCCCCACGTTTCTGTCTCTGGGGGCGTGGGAGGTTCTGGGAGTTGTAGTTTGTGACGGGGAGCCTTCCTCTCACAGCCCTCCGACTCGGAAAGTGCAGTTGTCTGAGGCCCGCCTTTTGTCTCTGCGGGCGTGGAGGATTCTGGGAGTTGTAGTGTGTGCCCCGGAGCCTTCCTCCCACGCGCGCCGAGGCCGCGGTGGATCCTGGGAAGTGCAGTTGTGCTGGGCCCGCGGCCTGGTCGTGGGGTCTGGTGCCCGGGGCTCCGGAAGGCGCCGTTTCCCCCGCCGGGGCCGAGCCGAGAGTCTGGGGTTCCTGGGCCGGAGGTAGGTAAAGGGACCCGCCCCTCTGCGCCGGGCCCCCGCCGGCTGGCCCGGCGATGCCGTCCGGAGCTCGGACCCTTGTCCACCCGCCCAGAGCCGCAGAGGACGCGCGCGGCCTTGTGACCCCGTTAACGGCGGAGGTGCTGGGTTGCAGGCCAGGCTGGACTCCTGGCACGAAGGCGGCGCTCTCGGGCCCCCGGGCCGCGGGGTTCCCTGACGCCATGGGACGGGGCGGGTGGATGTGAGCGGCGCGAGCCCGCGGGGAGGCGCGGCCT